GATATCAATAATCGACGACTGTGTTAGGGAAACCACTTTTCCCATCACAAAAACGCCTCGTTTTCTGATGACAAAATAACGCATTTTCGTGCACAAAACGCACGGAATTTTTGGCTCATTCAATAAATAAAAAAACGAAAATAAATTGAAGGAATTCCTTGCTAGATATTCGCGACCAAAAATATGAATGCGAGATTTGTTTTGTTTTTTTTTTTTTTTTTTTTTTTTTTTCTGGCGTCCTGGAGAAAACCTTCCCTTAATTCGAAGTGTTTCTGGGTAATTGACAATGTGGTCATGTGGTATTCGGTCATTGCGAGAATTTTTATGTACCACTTCAATACTGTTACGCATTTGACCATAAACTTATAGTTGCTGAGTACATTATCGAAGAGCTTTGGGGGTGATGTGGCCGGCAGCAAGGTAAGCGAACGTTCAATGAAAATTAACTCTTAAACAACAATAATTTATGGTGGTCCTGAAAGGGTCCCTTTTGTCGTGATGGTTGAGTAATGCTGAGCTATTAGGGTGTTCAACACATAACATTCAAAATCATATTTTTTTTTATGATTACTGGCCTGAGCGAAAAAAAATCCTGAGGGATTATTTTCAAGGCACGAGTGGTGCAAAATGCGCAATAGTCACTTTAGTACATTGTAGCTGGTTCTTTCCGGTATTTCCAAGATTTTTTCTCCATGAGTAGTTCGGAATTCTGTGCAGAACACTTTAGGAGTTCCCTCCAGACTACTCTGGAACTTCACCCTACATTTATCTTCGTATTCCATAGAATTCGCACGAAAATTTGTTTTAATCTCCATTCATTGTTTTATCTTATGCTTCCAAAATTTTCTTGTTTTTCACCTCAGGAATTCTCTTTGGAGTTTTAATGATACTCTTTTTAGAATTTCAATTTTCTTTAGAATCTCCTGGAACGTTGCTTTGAATTTTTAATGTCCAATATTTCCTCTAAGGACCCATCCCGATAGTCAATGAAGCTATATTCAAACTACTTTGAAATTCCGCAAAGATTTTTTTAAATTATATTCAGAACTAAGTTCTTTTGGAGTTATTATCGATATTCAATTGGATTGATTGATTGATTAACTTTCAATATATTTTCAGCTGTTTATGGTCATTAAAAGTAGGGTAAGGGTGTCAGTTTTTGGCCCTAGTGTTCCGCTATTAGCCGTATCTTAAATTTCAATTTTATTAATTTTTCACCAAATTGTCAATTCAAAACAATACCCCTCATACAAAGGATTTCCAGTAAAAACTTGATGTATGAGTGCTCATTGCAAGACAGCGTATATCACGTGATATACGCTGTAATCTGAACGATAAGACTAAAACAAAGATTTTGCTATATATCTACGAAAATAAAATCATTGAAATTTATTTAAAATTTAAACAAGTCATTAAGACCACAAACTATAGCACTAGTGTCTTAACTGTCACACTTACCCTAGTGTCAGAATTGCATGTAATTAAGTTTGTCAAAATTCCTTCAGAATTGCCCTGTTTCAGGGGAATAATCATAATTCCGATAATACACTCAGGTGTTTTTTTTACACGGGAGATATGTGCCGTGTGAAAAAAAACCTACCAAGGTTTTGAATTGTCACATGCTAAAATATTAAAAAAAAAACTACAAGGGACTACGTGTTCTTATATAATAAATCTAATTTGTTGCAGCAGGAGCTTGTGTTTTGTGTAGGAATAAGAATTTGTTATCCCTGTTTATACTCTTTAGTACGACGCGCTTGACATAAGTGGCTCACAGCGACTCACGGAGAGCTACTGATTCCTATCAATAGCGGTGCTCCTTCTTCCTTGGTGATTGAATAAACACCGTTTGGTGAGACCGTATAGAATTCAACTTTAAAATCTGTGTTAGGGAAATCGCTTTTCGCAGGCAATCGGTGATAATTTTAATGATCATAGCAACAGTTGCATATTCGTGCAATTTTCAACAGTGACATTTTGAAAAATGATAAAGTATTAATTTTAACAGATTCGTAGAAAAAAAAATCCTATCGATTGGTGTATTCAGAATTAAAATCCATCATCTCTGGATCAAAAACAGACCACCTTCATGCCGCGACCAACTTTGGTTTTTGAAATTGCACCCCCAATGTTATTTTCAAGAACATGGTATGTTAGATTTATACATATCTAGATAGAGCTGGAATTTGGCGTAACAGCTTTTGTAAACAATGACTTCTCTCGATGATTTTTAGGAATTCAAGGCACGCCCACGCAAAATCAACATTACCGTCAGGTAGGAGAAGTTTTACCCAAACTGATGGTGTTGTTGATTTGCGTAGGCGAGCCTTGCCTTTCAAGACATCATCGAATGAAGTAATTGTTTACAAAAGCTGTTACTCCCTAATTCCAGCTCTATCTTGATATGGGAACTGATCGATTGATGACCTTGACAAATGTCCAAAAAATACTCTTTTACAAATTTATAGTGGTCCTCACCACACGGTGATTGAATAAACATCGTTTGGTGACCGGTTGGAATTCAACTTTGAAATCTGTGTTGGGGAAATCGCTTTTCGCAGGCAATCGGTGATAATTTTAACTATCATAGCAACAGTTTCACATTCGTGCAATTTTCAATGGTGACATTTTGAAAAATGATAAAGTCTTAAAGTTAACGGATGCGTAGAAATATTTCTGATCGATTGGTATTGAAATTGATCCAGGGGCAGCTGAGCTTTTAACATTCAAAATCTTTCATAATTTTGCTACTTTTTCCAATTTTGGTTTTCAAAAAGTGTACCCCCATATAGAAATTACAGACTAGTCCTACGTCAAAATATGATTTTGTTGCCATTCGTATATATTTAAAAAATTATATATTTACACCGAAAGTTGAAAACCCATGGCTTGTTGAAACGAATAATGATGGATTGAATCAAGTCGATAGGTAGTATCGAGAAAGCATTACAAGCGTACCGAGTAAATTGCGACTAACTTAGAATTCACTTTTAGCTCTCCTGAAAATTTTCTTGAAATTATTCTCAAAATTTCCGGGAATTTCTAGTCAAATTCCTTTAGAATTGTCCTCAGAATTTCTAAAGGGAGTGAGTCTACAACATCTACCTTCAATTCTCCTCAAAACTCATCAACATTCAAGTGAAAACCAGAATTAATGCACCTATGGTGAGATCAACAATTCAAATGCAAAATGCTCAACATTCGTGTTGAATAATATCGCTTGATATGCATTTTATTTGTTCTTATGAAAGGCTTATGTGTCTTTGGACACGCAAAATAGTTATTTATTCATTTATTTATTTATTGATTGATTGATTGATTGATTTATTTATTAATTTATTGATTTATTTATTTATTTATTTATTTGCTTAAACTAATGCAGGAAACAATATTATTTACATAATCAGAGTGATAAAAATTATAGAATAAATACTTAAGGCTAGTTTTCGGAGATGAACTAGCTCATGGCTAAAAATCTCCCTAATAAAGTTAAAAAAAACTTAAGGCTAGCACGGGAAGCTATTAATGTTTTTACATATGCTAGTCATTGGTTCATTCGCACAGTAGTTTATACGATAAGCCGGGATTGAAGAAAGAGTTGCATCGCAAATTTACTCGTCTTATGTTAATGTTAAGCTGTTGAAAAAGTAGACCACAGTCAATTTCCGAACGCAGGAGACGTCACGGCAAACACTGAGAATGGAGGTTTACAGGGTCTTTCCAAGGTAGCCAATGAAGAGCAAAGCGAACAAATCTCCACTGAATAGACTCAGTTCAATTCGAGGCATTGTTGTAAAACGGCTCCCTGACTACTGAACAGTATTCCAGTGTCGAGCGTTTTCAAGCACGATATGTCTCTGAAATCGTTAGCAAAGCGAAAAATAAAGCCACGCCGAGAAGATGCTTTACTGGCTACATATGACATATATGATATGTCGCATCCAAGTTAGAAACTGATCACATCCCAGGGCTACCCGGAAAATGTTAGGGTGTGGCCATGGTCACCATTGCTCTTGTCTTTTAAAGCGATGTGATGTTATGTGATTTGAGGTGTGGCATTATGGGTTTGATTCTTTTCAGGTCGGTTTTGATCTAGTGACTTATTTCGGATTTATTTATTTATTTTCCGGATATCTCCGGAACCTGCGAACTGATTCCAAAAATATTAAATTATGTACTATGGCACCATAGCACCTTTCTTTGGCGGGTTCCGCGAATTTACATCAAATGTAACAGACTCGAAAAGGAAATTAGTGTTTTCTCAAACTATTCTATGCAAAGGCCTAATAAATTATATCTCTATCGAGTTTGGCAGTACATCGAATAAGAGAGATTGAGCTTATAATGATAATTTATTAGATTTTGATAAGCTTATCAGATATAATTCGTGTTAATAGGTTTTTGAAATTTTGAAAATTTATTAAATGTTTGTGGGGAAACCCTAACCGAGAATCAAAAGTTTGATATCATTCGCTTCCCTCCTTACGTACGAACAACAGAAGCAAGCGCCACTGTATGACTAGGTTGGTTATTTTTCTCATTTCATACATCTTTTTTCTTTAAATATTCACTCATCTTTTGGGAAACCCATTCCATTTGCTCAAGCCACATTTGATTTTTTACGAAAATACCCATCGAAATCCATCAAATTTCGAACTAATTCCTAAATAGGCAGAAACGGGTTTGGCCTCATTTCCATGAACGAGTATGGAACCCATCGGAAAAAGGACCACATTATTCAATCATCCCGTTTTGTTCGAGGCCAAAAATATGCAAATGGTACATCGAATAAATCCTTCTGTTATCGGCAAAGTCAGTTTAATGAGAAACTTCCGACAGCCCTTTTTCGCTTCATACTGTTATCCAATCATAATTCCTGATTTCCAATTTCAATCTCTTTCTCACGCACCTAATAAGACCGTATTGTATAGCAACAACCCCGTTGCTCTCCCTCCTCGGTTTTCATTGATTATACACAATTTCTTCCTCTCATTACTCACCATATTGAATGCGAGTGACAGAAATCCAGCGCGGAGATGATTTGCCGGAAGAACTTCCGCGCCTCCTTTGGCGTAAGGCGGCCCTTCTTCACCAGATAATCGAACAGCTCACCACCGGAAACGTGCTCCAGCACCAGATATCTGCGAAATTGTATCATTTTATTTTCTTCTTCTGGGCAATCATTTTATTTAATTTATTTTTTCACACACAGATACACTAGCAACAAAATAATCACAAATGTTCGCCTGCTTTTGTTTCTTCGCGGAAAAGCAACCAACCCAACAATGGGATCCATAATCACACGCCATGGCGAAAACACAAACAGAAGGCACTTTTTTGCTGCATTATTGATTGATTTTTCAATATTTAATTTTTCGTGCTTTCGCTGGCGCACACAGTCTGGCCTTCCGCAGAGTCGTCCTGCTGCCGTATATGTTCTATTGTAGTATCGTGTTGTGTATGGTGTGCTTCGAGAAACAATCGAAGTAGGCTCATAATTGCGAAAGATGAACCAGTTCGTTAATCCTAGCAAGCCTTCTCCGCACGCGAAGCCTCGTCACGGAAAGGCAAGGACTACTAGATCAGAATGGGTTTCGATTTAGAGGATGTTTAAACTTACAAATATTTCCGATTTTCATAAACATCCGTCAGGCCAAGGACGTGTGGGTGGTCAATTAGTTTCATTATAGCTATTTCTCGTTCCACCTGGTCGGCGGATGTTTTTTGTGTGTGTTATTCATGTGTTAGTCGTCGACGTTTCATGGTTGATGTGAAGAAGTTGGGTTGTTGATGTTGTCGAGCGTACCGTATAGTTGCGAGTGGGTTGAATGAAATTTTATCAGAATGAAAAAAAGAGAGAGAGAATGAGGACAAAGATAAAGAAAGGATAATAAGTAAGTTAATTAAAATGTGTTCGACTTTTTTGTTATGTATAGGAAAATGCTTATTGGACGGTAATTACTTTCATCAGCACTGATTCACTGAGCTTTTCTCGGTTGATAATTTTAATTGCTACTTTTTTAGCGGTGACACAATGCACTCCTAATTTCACGAGGCCTGTAAAGAGGAATCGATAAGGAACGAAAAGTAAGACGATGGCTGCTTCCATGCACTTTGACGTTAATTTGAGAGGACTTGTGGAGTACGATCCTCTTACCAGTTTGACCTTTCCCCAGCGTTCGTTCCAGACGATATGGCCCCACATATTGATGGGCCTCGTTGGATGGGGTACTATTTTCCTTTTGCACTTCTCTGCTCATTTTTTTTCTAGATACAGATCTTAGTTGGCCGTTTTCAAATCGCTTAACCAGCCTCCCACGATGGTATTCCCTTTCTACGAAATAGCTTTCTGAAACTAGTCACGAATTTCACCGCTTTTCTTCTTAGCTTTCAACTATAACCACACGGAATATTTGACTTCATTGATGAACACTAACAGTCGAGAAACATCGGAAAATCTTCCACACCGTGATCAATGACTGCCAAATCCTGGGATTTCCAACATCTTGCAACTATTTTGTATCCTTTCAGCTCGAGTCGTACTTTAAAACTCTTCAAAACACTCGTATTCAATGTCTTGAATCCTCCACCTTATTTGAAAAATCAATATTCCTACGTGTGAGGAGAACTGTCGGAGCGCCGAGAGCCGAGCACCGCGAACTCGTGAAGGGGCAGAGTCCTCCTTCTGCACTGTATTGTGCACTTTTTGCCTTGTGATTTTCCTTTTTCCCGATTCCGTCTGCCAACACACAACCTTCCAATCAGTGATCAATCGTGTTGGAAGAAACCAATTATCACACTTTTAACACTGAGGAGAAACGCACTTTCCCAAATTTTCGCACTTTTCCCAGAGAAAAAGACAACCCGACCGACCGTACGCGACGGGATTCTCGGCTAGGATTAGCTTAGCAAAGTTTCAATGGCGATTTCCACCAACCACCAGCAGAGCAGCCAGTATTGACATATTCCAGCTAAAGAGAACAACCCCCCTGCTTCGTTCGTGGTGAGAAAGAGAGAAATCGCTGCCGAGAGTGAATGTGTTGGTGTTCTGCGGAGATTGACAGGCGGCGAATTTCCTTTATTTCCCGACGACCGATTCCGTGCACTCGTCCTCGTCGTTGTTGCTCTCGGGCGCTACTGAGCGAAAAACCCATCATCGAGCGAATCCACTATCCTACTCGAAAGGATGTAATTGTGCACAGCGTATGTGCGCTGTGTATGCAATCCTCCCTCAACCCCCTTCGTGACATGACGTGGGAATGTGTGAGTGCGAGAGTGAGTGAATTTGCAAGTGAGCAATGAGTCACCTCGTATATCCTGATTCGCAGTGGTTTCGGATTGGGTGTTGTGTAAGTAGGCATAGGAGTGGAGTAATTTACGTCAAATATGAAAGCATGCGTTTTCCTCGAGTTTGCCAACCAAGGAATCCATCGTAATTTTTCTGGCAGGTAGGTAGTTTGTTTTTGTCGAAACGTGGAAGAGTTGCCAATTAAGGAGTATTTTTTTTTTTTTTTGAAAGGTCTCGGTTGTCATACATATTGTTTATGGGAACTACAGTTCTTTCGTTTGCAAGTTGCTTTTGATTGAGTGATTTATTGAAAGACACCTTCATCAAAACTTTGCGTTGCGTTAGAAAACAGTATTCTTCTCTAACGAAAATTGACAAGTCATACGTCTAACATAGTAGTAGTAGCAGTGTCGCATAATCTAATCACAATTTTTGCAAATAGTGCTGGAGGGGCCGGCAGGGCTGAATACGGATCAAAACTAGCATAACTCTTAACACTAAAATGATCCCGGAACTAACACTCATCCATTGCACTTTTAGTTATATATTAGTTTTATTTTCCTACTAATTTATCTATGCTTCTTTCTATTGTTTGGATCAAGTACAACTAATACTAATCTACCTTTATGTATGCTTTACTCCCTTTTAACCCATTATCTTTATGAATGGCGAATCATATGGAGCTGGAACTCAAAGAAATAACATGATTTAAATGGACTAAGGAGAAGGAATAGAATTACTTCGAACAGGATATCAAACAAATTCAGGACCAATCCATTTGAGACCAGAAATCAGCAAGGCATATACTCGGAGAGGTATTTGATAATTAATCAAAAAGTGGTAAGTTAAAATCATAATGGAGCCAAGGATCATGAGAGGTACCTGAGTACCTGGTGGGCGACGACTCGTTGAATTCAAATCTGCGCTGGACGAAGTAACCGTCTTCATTGGTCTCGGTCCTGAACCAATCGCTTCCAGTCGCCTTGGGCGTTCAAAGACCTAATGTCCTCCTCAACTGCACAAAGCCAACGCGTGCGTGGCCTACCCCGAGGCCGACGTCCTCTTCCGGGTTCCCTGCTCAATATTGACTTCGCTAGACGCTCTTCCGGCACATGCCCAGCCCACTGTAGCCTGTCGTGTTTTATAAGCTTCACAATATCCATGCCGTTATGTACTTGAAACAACTCGTGATTCATGCGACGCCGCAAGATGCCATTTTCCAGTTTACCGCCGAGTATTGTTCGCAGCACTTTACGCTTGAAGACACCGAAAGCTCGCCGATCGGCCTCTTTTAATGCCCACGATTCGTGGCTTAAAGGGCTACCGGCAGAATCAACGTCTTGTACATCGCGAATTTCGTTTTCGTACGCAAGCTGCGGGACTTCAGCTGGTTACGCAACCCGTAGAAAGCCCTGTTCGCGGCTGCCATCTAGCACCACTTCACTACCAACACCACTATTGCTCCTACGCTTTCTACCGGCGACCATGTACTTCGTTTTGGTAGAATTTATCGTGAGAACAATCCTCGCTGTCTCCCTCTTAAAAGGCGCGAACGCCTCTTCCACTGCTCTACGGTCGATTCCGATGATGTCGATGTCGTCCGCAAAACCAAGGAGCATGTGCGACTTTGTGATGATGGTACCGTTCCTCTGCACGCCAGCTCTCCTAATCGCTCCTTCGTGGGCGATGTTGAATAGCAAGTTCGAAAGAGCATCTCCCTGCTTCAACCCATCTAAGGTCACGAACGAGGCCGAAATTTCGTCTGCAACCCGTACACATGATTTCGAACCATCCAGCGTTGTACGAATCAGCCTAATTAGTTTCGTCGGAAAACCGTTTTCTTGCATTATCTGCCATAGCTCGTTTCTCTTTACTGAATCGTACGCTGCCTTGAAATCTATGAACAGATGATAAGTCTGCAAGTTGTATTCCCGGAACTTCTCAAGGGTTTGACGCAGGGTAAACATTTGATCCGTCGTTGATCGACCCTCACGAAAACCAGCCTGGTATTCGCCGACGAAGGATTCCTCAAGCGGTCTCAATCTGTTGATCAGAACACGTGATAATATTTTGTACGCCGAATTCAGAAGCGTGATTCCTCTGTAATTGGCGCACTCCAGTCTGTGTCCCTTTTTGTAGAGGGGACAAACGAGACCATCCAACCAACTAGCTGGCAATTCTTCCTCCTCCCATATCTTGAGCAGTATACGGTGGATCATCTGGTGCAGCTGCTCACTTCCGTGTTTGAGAAGTTCGGTCGGGAGCTCGTCCTTCCCCGCAGCCTTACTATTTTTCAGCTCTCGTATCGCCTTTTTCACCTCTTCTAGCGTTGGTGGTTCCACAGCTTGACCATCGTCGTCGATGTGTGTTCTGTTTGTAGATGCTCTCTCGTTCTTTCCGTTCAGCAACGTCTCGAAGTACTCCTTCCACCTGGCAGCCACCATCGTTTTACCTGTCAACAGATTACCTTCACGGTCATAGCACATGGCGGGAGACGGCGCTGTCTTACTCCTCACGCCATTGAGAGTTGCGTAAAACCTTCGCATATCATTCTGCTCCATACTTTCTTGCGCCTCAGCAATAACGCGTTCCTCGTACTGCCTTTTTTTCCTGCGATGGGTTCGTTTCTCGGCTGACCTTGCTACCCTGTACCGCTCTCTGTTCTGACGGGTACCAGACACCAACATCCGGCTTCTGGCGACGTTCTTCTCCTTTGTCATTCGCTGGCACTCCTTGTCAAACCACCCGAGAGGTAATTATCAATTAGTATAAATAACCATACTATCCTATAATTGATATTACTATTTTTATATATCAATGAAATTAGTCATAACAGAGTAACAGAAAGTGTTTAAAAACAGATGGGGAAGTACAATAGACACAAGTTGACACAATACATAAGACAAGTTGGGGTTAACTTAATACACAATACACAATACACAAGACAAAATGACAAAATAAGTGACGGCAGAAGACAAGACTGGTACAAAAATCAACCTGGAAAAAAAACAAGAATGTGCAATTATATTATCAAAACTATTTGGATCAACACAAAACCAAAAGTGACCAAAAGGGGAACCATAGCCTAGGAACGCCTGTGTGTTGATTTAAAATAGAGGCTCATAGAAGTAAAATTTATCAATAAAAGGGGTCCAGTGTAGAGTTTAAGCAAGTGTATGCTGCCACTGTTCAAAAATTGTATCTTAATTTTAGAATTTATTTTAAAAAAAAAACCCCGATTTCAATAATTTGCATAATGAATTGTTGATATTGGAGTTAAATATCTAATATTTATTAGGTATTTAATGAAGCAGCAAAACTAATCTCGTAGTCTTACGTCAACATAGCGGTCGTGCTTTGGACGTAACCCTTAACTTTGTCGTTTTCATTAAGCATTTATTAGGTAAACCCCTACAAGGTCAATGAGATCAACCCGAATTTGAGTTCAGTTTACTCATAAAACGGAAAAGTGCATGAACTCAGCGGATGAGTAAATTTCAGGTGTTTCCAGGAAAAATCCCGAATATGAGTAAAGTAAAGATTGGATTATCTCAGTCTATTGGTACTAAAGGGTGATACGGTCAAAATTTGGTCAATATCAACTTGACATATTTCTTTCAATTTTGCATTTAAAAAACCTGAACACCCCTCATTTTGAAGGTGTGTGGGTGTAGAATGTTGCTCCTATTTTGATTTTGGAACTCACTCTTCAGTTGTCAAAATGCCGTCCAAGCAAGAAGAGCAGCGTATCAAAATTTTGCTCGCGCATCGCGAAAATCCGAGCTACTCGCACGCAAAGTTGGCAAAATCGCTAACAGTTGCCAAATCAACCGTTACAAATGTAATTAAAGTGTTTGGGGAACGTTTGTCGACAGCCAGGAAGTCTGGATCGGGGGGAAATCGAAAACCGGAAGCCGCTGAGACGACAAAGAGAGTTGCCGGTAGTTTCAAGCGAAACCCTAACCTCTCTCTCCGAGATGTCGCAAATAAGCTGGGTGTATCGTCTACAACCGTGCATCGAGCCAAAAAACGAGCCGGACTATCGACTTACAAGAAGGTAGTGACTCCAAATCGCGATGATAAACAAAATACGACGGCCAAAGCGCGATCCCGGAGGCTGTACACGACGATGCTGACGAAGTTTGACTGCGTGGTAATGGACGACGAAACCTACGTCAAAGCCGACTACAAGCAGCTTCCGGGACAGGAGTTTTATACGGCAAAAGGAAGGGGAAAGGTAGCAGATGTTTTCAAGCACATGAAACTGTCAAAGTTCGCAAAGAAATATCTGGTTTGGCAAGCCATCTGTACCTGTGGCTTGAAAAGCAGCATTTTCATAGCTTCCGGGACTGTCAACCAAGAAATTTACGTGAAAGAGTGTTTGAATAAACGTCTGCTGCCTTTCCTGAAGAAACACGGTTGTTCCGTACTGTTTTGGCCGGATTTGGCATCTTGCCATTACGGTAAAAAGGCCATGGAGTGGTACGCCGCCAACAACGTGCAGGTGGTTCCCAAGGACAAGAACCCTCCCAACACGCCAGAGCTCCGCCCAATTGAGAAATACTGGGCTATTGTCAAGCGGAACCTAAAGAAGACCAAAAAAACTGCTAATGGCGAGCATCAGTTCAAGGCAAACTGGCTTTCTGCGGCGAAGAAGGTGGACAAGGTGGCTGTACAAAATCTGATGGCAGGGGTCAAGGCCCGGCAATTCGGATTTGGAAAAGCGGAAGCCTAACTGAATATTTTTCCTGAATTTTATACTAATTGAACTTGAAAAAGAAATTTAATTTGATTTTTTAAATAAACGATTTCACCGAT